AGAGGCCGCCAGGGCCTGCCGAATGGCATCAAGGAAGTGAACAGGTGGTATACCTGGCCTAAATTCTTGATATTGGCGGTGTCCAGTGTTTGCGAGCCTTGAAGCGAAATCCGTACAAACGCATTAACGCCAGGTTGCTGTGCTAACCTGGCAGTTTCCAGATTCGTGCGCCTGGCAGCCTCCGCCCAGGCCTGCAATGCCTCCTGCGATATTTGTCCGTGGACTTGGGGGAGTCCTTGGGGGTCCACCACGTATTTGGTTGCAGGGCACGTGGGCAGCTGGTATGCACGGCCAGCGAGGAAGGCCACCATAGCTGCAGGAGGCACATTGACCTGTAGGTCTGTAATGCGATTGTCCGTCTCAGGGAAGCCCAAGACGACAGGCAGCCCTGCTGCTCGTCCCAAGGGGCCCTTTTGATGAGACTCAAAAGCTAGCAAAAGCGCCCCCAACCAGTAGTCTGGGTCGGAGTAGCAAGCCGGAAAACTGGCATTTTTGACCCCTGGCACATCTGCGACAGCAAAGAAGAGATCGGCGATGTACTGGGCAGTGGTCAGGAATCCGTACCCGACCAGAGAGTCCGACAACCTGGTTTTATCCAGCTGTGGTATCTGGAATGATAGTATGTCCGCCAAATCAATGTGCTGTAGCGCCCCTGAGAGTCGCAAGCATTGCGTGATGATGGGGTCATAGACTTTCAGATAAGCCGCCGGGAAGGTCTCAGGCAGGTGGAGAAGGGTGTCTGCAATGCCCAATAGGGTGTCAGGTTCCTGGAGCTGGTGTGGCAGGCGCAGCAGCAACTCTTCATAGGTCCTATACGCGCGAAGTTGCTGCCCATGTGTCGTCAAATTGAATCACGCAAGCACATGTAGGGCCTGGGCTTCACGCTCTTCCCAAAATGATGCCCCACCTCGTGAGCCCGCAAACAGAATCCTCACTTTCATGGAGTCCTGTGATCACGAGCGCTGCTTGGTTCGCCAGGCCTGGACCTGGGCGGCTCCTAAGACAGGTATTGTCATGCACAAGAGGCCGACTTTCTTTGCGGCCAGGGGAGACCGGCAGACGCCCCGCTGCCAGCTGGGTCAGGCTAGGGGGGGGCGTAGGGGGTTCATGAGTTGGCTCACTGGGAGGCTTGGCACAGGGCGATCTCGACGCATCTCTGGTCCCTCCCCGCTCGGAAGAAGCTGCCCGCACTGGTCGAGCTTTGGGGCTAGGCGGGGGGCGGACGCCAGGGTGGCGGGAGTTTGTGCATCTCCCCAAGCGACATGCTGTCGCTCCCTAGGCATGTGCAGCAACGCATCCCAAAGCGGGGTGGAAGCTCCGCCAGGGAGAACCTCCAGCTGGCTGACCCTGGGCAAGGTATGTTGATTCACCAGGTGGTTGTGCTGATCATCCGACAGTAGCAGGGCAATTGTTAGGTTTACGGGCTGCATTGCCTTGGTCTCGCCCGCGTTGGTACGCAGCTTCTTAGGGGCGGTGAGCTCGATGAACACACCAGGGTAGGTCGTGTCACGACTGCCTTCGCTCAGAGTGACCAGCAGCGCAGTGCCCTTGGCGGGTACTTTGCCGGCGACAGCCAACCACATTCGGCGCCTTTCAGGAACTCCTGCCAAGTCTGGTGTGAGAAGGATGACAGTTGCCCTCGGATAGACCCGATGAAGTAAGCCGATCGGCCACGTATTGGCGCCTGGCTTGACGGCAGTGGGCACTGGGGCACGTTTGACGGTTGCTTGCTCCGGGTAGTGATACTGCTCCGACGGCTCCTCCTCAACTTCTGCTTCTGATGTCATGGCGAAGAACTGGTAGCCAAGCATATCAACAAGGCGCTCGAGCGGCAGGAGGGCAAGCCACATGTCCAGCACAAGTTTCATCGTGGGACCAAGCTCGTGGTAGGGCCGTGGTAAGTCAGTCAAGTGAGGCTTGGCCTCCTGCAACAGGATGCCCGTGCATTCCCCTCGCAAGTCCATGATCCCCCGATTAGTCGCAGGCGGCAGGTTGAGGAATTTCTCCATATCCTGCCGGGTGACTTGCCGTCCCAGTACCGCTTTGACAAAAGCCTGGGAACGTTCCGGTAGCTGGACCGAGCCACAAGCGACGCCCATCAAGGACGCCCTGACAGCACGGTCGAGCCGAGGATCCGCCAAACCGCAAATCCTCCTGGTCAACTCCTTGTGCACGTAATCCCCTGGGGTAAGCTGAAACAACTCCTCACTGTCAACAAAGTGGCCGTAGGAGTGGCCTCCACTGCCGAAGGTATCGGACTCAGAGAAGAAGTGCAAGCGTGCCCCATCCCTAAGCGCCTCCTCCCTCGCCGCCAAGCTCGGCCGGAAGATGCAAAGCTGGTCGCCCTGGCGGTGGACAAGACTGACGGCATGTCGCAGCTCTGACCCCAGAATGTATACGAAATCTCCTTTGCACAGGGGGCTCTGCTGGCGCTCGTGCCATGCAATGACCACTGCTGCGCCGGTGTAGGAACCGGCGGAGAAGCCACGGATGCGCAGTTTGCACTGACCGGCCATGCCGGCACCTAAGCCCACATGTAAAGCCGTTAAGGCTGCAGTGTGTGGCATGTGCAGGTGTGCCAAGGCCGGCTTCATGATAAGGGCTGCTTCAACAGCGCTGATCCTGGCCCTCACCCCAGCCGGCAGATGGCATCCTTCAATGTGTGGGTAGAAAGCCTTGGCCCAAACTTGGGGGGCCTGCGGGAGGAGCAACAATGCGTGTGACGCGTGGCCACTAGACGAGAGCAGCAGCGGGCGGTGAGTAAGGTCAAATCTAACCCGGCTTGCCTTGGTTCTCCCGGACTTGTTCCATTTCCAGGCCCGTCAGTGCATAGGAGTTGGCGGTGTGAATGATACTGCATGAGACGGAAGCGGGCGCGTTCTCGCCTCTGCCATTCATCCCGCTAATGAAGAGCGACCTGCATTCCCCAACCAGTGTACGGTGGGGCTTCGGGGGCGGGTGCTGATAAGCCGGAAATCCGAAAGCTGCAAGGGCCTGGTGCACTCGCAACGCGAGGGCTGAGGCCCAAAGACGTGGCCTGAGTGTCGGCAGCGAAAAGTGTTCAAGGCACATCCGCCTGGGCAAAATACGAGTGCGCTGCAGCAGTCAGAATGGCTAACGGCCCTTTTGGGGTGTTTGGCCGGCTGCGCTGCGCCACTTGTTCGAGGCTCCACAGGAGGACAAGGCTTCTCTTTTCCAATACATAAGGACCCCAGGGAAAAGCTGGATCCGAACTGGTCCGTTGCCCTTTCCCCCCACAGCGGCCCAGAGAGGAACCGCGTCACCGTTGCCCCAAATGGCCTCTGGCAGGGTGGGCATCCGGTGCACCTGTCCCCAGAGCCGCAAAACACTTTTCCCTTTGGCACCGTATCCATGAACAAACGGGGGGGGCACAGCTTCGGCAAAACGATTCGCCATGAAACAGGTCTGGCCCTGGCAAAATCGCCATTCGGGTTTGTGAACTGCCATAGCCTAACAGGAGGGAAGGAAGCCCTGCTCATAGGGACCTTGTCCCCAGGTTTTGACTCCTTTCACCTGCCCCACGGGAGAGGAGCCAAAGGCAATCTGTGGCTCGGGGCGGCTATCCTCGAGGTTGGCCCGTTTCCATGCTAGCTCATGCACATATCTGCCTAGCAGCGCCCAAGCAAACACAAAGTCGGAATGCTTGTTGGCATTCGTGCCAGCAAGGGGAGTGTTTCGGAGGCACTGCAAACGGTGGACTCTGTCCAGTGTCACGTCAACAGGCATGCCAGGCAATGGAGTGGGCACTCCACTGGGGAGGATGATTCGCGTAAACGCGCGGGCCGATGCCGCACGCACGATGCCCACAGCTTCAACAGCAGTGCGCGGAATGCCGAAGGCAGGAGGTTGCGGGCACGATGCATCAGGGGCATCCGGGTAGAAGATCACCAAGCCCCCATTGGCCTCGAGCTGATCCTCCGACGCACAAACCATGCCAATGGAGTTAGGCGACCGGGCTCCGGACGGGCTGTCTCCATCCGGCGAACAGCTCCAAGACGAGGATGGAAGCGAGCCACAGGGCTGTGTCTCGTCCACCTCCACGTCCATTTTACCTAAAGGCTCCATCGACAGGGAATTTGGCAAGAGGTCCAGAACTGCAAAGCGTCGTAGCTGCTCGGCCTCCCATCTGGCGGAGAAGAGGGTGTCATGATCCAGCAATGTCAAGACAGTACCTGGCGCCAGAACCCTGAGCACAGTCATGATTTCAGGCCCCGCCCGTTCGCTGCAAGTTCAAGCCACACTACCAAAGCTAACAAAAGCCTACAGGAAATCTTAAGCCTAAGCGAGCACTGTACCACGAGCTCTCCCACTTTTTGACTTTGCCGGAAATGCCGCTCAGAGTTCAAAGCAGAATGCAAAGCAGATGATGCGTACTAAGTCTGAAGCGTAGAGAACCAACGCAAAGCAAGTGTAAAGAAGATACCGCACTGAGTCTGAAGCATAACTGCCAAATCAATACAAAGGGAGAATATCACTGCGCATCTTGTGAAACTGAGTGAAACGATGTAAGTTCCTGGCTGTATGAAGGTCCGACCCGCCCCAACAAAGAAGGAACGTGCCTTCAAAGAGGGAGTGGTGGGTGGGTCAAAAGTAAAGCTAGCCAGCATTGCACTGATTTGGTATGTGGCTTGAACCAAAAACGACAAAGTACGGTGATCTTTCACAAACAGCAAACAGTTATGAGTAAACACATGACCCGTTCGCTGCAAGTTCAAGCCACACTACCAAAGCTAACAAAAGCCTACAGGAAATCTTAAGCCTAAGCGAGCACTGTACCACGAGCTCTCCCACTTTTTGACTTTGCCGGAAATGCCGCTCAGAGTTCAAAGCAGAATGCAACGCAGATGATGCGTACTAAGTCTGAAGCGTAGAGAACCAACTTTCAAACTGGCAAAGTCAAAGCTCGCCGGGCCTACCTACCCCATTTCTAAGTGAGCGCAGACTATGCCAGGCTCTCACATCAGAACTCAGGAAAGTGATTATGGCGGCTGCCATTTGAGCTTGGCATCTGGAGGCCAAAGGCGCACATCGGAACGGAAGTGCCAGATGCGTGCAAGGCTGCAGTCCACACGAAAGTCCGGAAGGAACTTGGCAGGCAAGGGCTGGGACTCATCACTCCAGCGGGAGAGCAAATCTGCATCGTCATTCTTTTCGCCGGGTACGTGGAACACGTCGAGCTCAATGCCAGTCATGCATGCCAACATTGACAAGCGTTTCAGAAACACTGACAAAGGAAAGGCCGAGCTGTAGAGCTTATTGATGCCTGCCTCTGCGCCTGTGTTGTCGGACAAAGTGCGGAGACGGACTGTCCAGCGTGCCAAGGGCACCACGGAATGGAGACAAAGAATGAGGCCAAGCTGTGCCAATGTCTCGTAACATGTGATGTCCTGGTGAGCTGGCACCTGCAAAGGCACACCCAGTGAAGAAAGGTCTGGGACACGCCATGACTGGCTGAACCACGAAATTTGGCGTGAAGGCCATTCGATAAAACCCCCCGGCCCCCTATCCCGACAAGGTCCCCATCCGCGCGAGCGTCGGCGACAGCGCAGACGATGGGAACGTCCGCGGGTTTCTGCAAAGGAAAGAAAAGGGGTGGAACCTCGCACCACTTAAGCCAGAACTGAAGGCTCTCACGGCTGGAAACTGAAAGCTTGCGGCGAGTGGTGGAGGGGTCCGTCACTCTCATCCAAATACGTTTCGAGGTGGGAATGTTGGCAAGGTCTTTCTTAGACTGCAGGGCCAAGTGCCTAGCTTCAATGAGCTTAGCGCCTGTCGGAATGCTCGTGCCCGGCGGTGTGGAGGTGAAGACAAGCCCCTCGTTAACGCAAATGGCCAAGCCGGGCCAATCGCCAGGGTCAATGCTGTAGTTGGTGGCCAATGGACGGTTCGCATCAGCGTACAGGGTCTGCAACCAAGGCTTAAAATGCTTGTACAGCTTGCAAAACCACTGCAGCAACCCGGTGACCTTGTCCAGGGTCCGTTTCGAGACATGGCGACCCTGTAAGGCTTCCTGCAACAGGCGCTTTAACTTCTGGACTTTCTCAACCGGAATAGAGAAAGTGCCAGAGCCGAAAGAAAAATGCCAGCCTATCCAGTGGATACAGTGATACAGCTGCCAAGCTGTAACTTGGCATTGGACAGAGGTATGTTGAACAAAGCACAAAAAGCCAGTGTCATGCACGCTGTAAGGCCAATGACCTCCTGGTCCTGAAACAGGATAAAATCGTCCACGTAGCCCAGCAGGGCGTGTCGGAGCCAGGTCCAAAGGTGTAAAGTGCGAAGGAAAAAGCTTCCCAGTCGCTGGAACCAGAGGGCCGAGAAATTCGCTCCAAAGGGACAAACGCGGTAAAAAAGCCGGCCAGGGCCCTGAATCTTCGGGAGGGAGACCCCGAGAAGCCCCTGATCCGAATCGCGAACTCGAACCGTTTTGTGAGCTGACTTGATGTCAAAAGCGAAACCCGCGCAGAGGCCAGAGTGACAGCGCAAAGGGAAAGAATCCCTAACATCGTCAATGCCCGGGAGTGTGTACGTTTCGGGGATCGAGCAAGACGGGTTAGTGCCACAGACAGTGGAATCCACCACAAGACGAGGCTTTTTGCCTTCAGCTTTGACAATAGACATCTTTCCAATGGCCAGCTTGTCGCCAAAACGCTCTTGAGCCGCTTCCAAAGAATCTAGCTCCAAGAACCAGCCATTGGCGATCTCCTCTTCCACTAAGGCATGCAGGGTTGGAAGATCCGCTTCAGCGCTGGACCAATTGCCATGACAAATGCCAAGTGATTGCTCGAAAGGATGGCCTCCTCCTTGTGGCAGGAAAACGTTGGACAACGGAATGTCCCCGTCAAAGCCAGTAGGCACTCCCTGTTCCAGACAGGTGAACAGGGATACGTCTCGATCTTGACAGATGCGTGAGACAGCTGCCAGCGCCTGGAGGCAGCACGGTTGCCCTGCGGATATTTCCCAGGATACGGAAACGCCAGGGAAATGCGCGGAGAGCCAGTCCTGGAAGATGCAACGCAGGGCGTCTATCTCCGAGCTTGAGAAAAGAGGTTCCGCGGATCCCCCCAAAACCAAAGTGCGCAAACGCTGAGGCAAACGACCCTGAAGAAGAAAGGCCATTAGCTTAGGCCTAAGGTGTGCGAACACGTCTGTGGCTCCCGAGGGTGGTGCGCTCCAGTCTGGCGTGGAGAGGATGCCGGCCCCATCCTGCGAAGCCACGGGAGCCTCGTGAAGGGCCTTGGGTTTGGAAAGCAAAGGTACCGTGGCGAAAGAAAGGGCAGTACCTCCCCCTGGTTCCACGTCGAAGAGGGGCAGAGCTTGCTCCGCATACATGTCTGCTAAAAGGGGGGGGTACTCTGCAGAAGCCCGACTGCAAAAATTGCCGGACTCATCACGCAAACCCTGCAAAGCCACGTGGGTCCCCTCAGTGTGTGGACATGTAGAGGCAAAAGCCTGAAAGGCCCTAAATGACGTGGCAAAAAGCCAAGCTTTGTGCATGTCGAGATTGACGGAACAAGCGGCCACGTGGACCAGATCCGCGCTGATGGCTGCCAAGAAATTGGTCGCAATCGGCTCCATCCAGGCCACGCTGTTGGGGGGCTGTTTGAGCGACACCTGCGCGCCGCAGGAAAAGCTGACATGCAACAGCTGAACGCAACGCACAAAGATAAGATGACTCTCCTGGACCCTAAGAGCCTGTGATGCCGACAAGTCGGGAAGGCCATTCAGGAATGTAGGAGTCCGAAGTGCTTTCGGGCCTCTAGGAAGGAGTTTCAGGCGAGAGTACTCCCTGCATGGGGGGGCAGCGTGCGCAAGGGCCACCTGGCGGGACGTGCAAATGCGCAGCAAATGTTCAAAGAAGTCGTCCTGGAGAAGATCCATGTTTGTGTCAATGAGAATGTCTATAGACAAACAAGGTACTCCCTTCTCCAAGAAAGCGGAGCTGAGCGGTGAGCCCGCTCCCGCGCAAATGTCCAGGAAGAAGGGTTGCTTGAAATCCCGAACTGACTGTAGGGCAGAGGTGACCCGCGAGGAGGCCGGGGGAAACGGCCCTGGCATGGACTCTGCGGAGACCGGTGCAGGAGATGGCGTTGGGTTGAGGCTGTCCGGGGCCAAGACGTCCACATCGGGATCTGTGTACAGTGGTGGCGGGCTTCTTGGGGATAGCGAATCAGAAACGGACAAAGCCAAAGCCCCCTCGTGAGGAAAAACGGGCATCAAAGGCTCGGGCGCCTGCTTTGCCGGAGCAGCGGTTGCCGGAGTTGAAGAGCTCTGGGAAGACAAAGGCAAAATGGCAGGCACGAACAAAGGCAGACCGGACCCAGCTGCCTGCTCGAAAGATGGGTCCGGTCCCCCTCAATGCGGGGTGTCAGTATGTTGCCATGCCGGATGGTTGCCAAGACAAATCTTGCCACTGGGGAGCTTCACGGGACAAAGGTGTTCAAAGCGGCATGACGGATTTTTGCATCCTGTGCGCTGACTCCAGCGCATACAAAGGGTCTTGACTTCTCCGTTAATTTTTGCGGAGGATGCCCACTCTTGACGATTTGTGGAGGTCCCCGCGGAGTTGCCTTGGTTGCCCAGACCGGATCCCCCGCGACCGGTGCCAAGGCCACTCCCACGACCTCTTCCATCCCCCTTGCCTTTGCCGCGTCCGCGTCCGTTGCCAAAGCCAGCACCGGGGCCATTGCCCTTTCCTCCACCTGCTCCTTTGCCCTCCGGGCGGCGCATGGCCTTAGGCAGAAAAACGCGCGGAGCCAAAAGAGAAGCCAGCTCGCTGCGGACGGCTGTGTTCTCATGGATGCAGTCGTCCAAAGACCAACCTTGCAAACGGAGTTCGGACACAGCCTCCCAAAATCGGCGATCTGCCTGCTCACATTCCAATGCGTTGGGTGGGCGAAGGCCACTGCTATTGTCAAAGCGAGCCGAAGCAAAACGGAGGAAGGTAGACTCGATGCAAACATGCCCAGTGTGTCCGGGAGGTTCCGAGAGGGGACATCATCCAAAATGAGATCTGCCAACTCAGTCCTGGCTAGCTTGCGGGGGCGCTGCAACTGCTGCTCTTCAAGCTCAAGCACTGACATGCGCCAACGCCAAGGGATGAAGCGCCACTCTTGGGACGAGGCTTGTTTAAACGCCAAAGCAAGGAGACGAGCCGAAGGCATAGTGGAATCGTCCAAAACCTCGCTAGGGTATTTCCGCAGGAAAGCGGCTCGAAGCTCGGCCGTTTTGTCTGAGGAGAGCTTAGCTGGGAAAGGCTCGTTCCACGATGCAGCACCTGACATGGTGTGGTTAGGGTCTGAAGCCGCGCTGAAGGACTGGTCCTGCGGTAAAGGCAGAGCAGAGGGTTGCGGCGGAAAGGGCACAGCTGCCGTGTGTCCCTCAGAACAAGCCAATGCATGTGACCTGTGCCAAAGACACCGAAGGTCCGCATGTGTCCCGGAGCCAAAGTCCAGGAGACCGTGTGACTCCAACCACTGGTCCAACTGGTCAAAGGAGGTAGCCAGGAACCCAAAATTACGAATGGTGCGGTTCAACTCCGAATGAGACACAACCTCTTCCGGGAAATCAAGGTTCAAAGATTCCCAAAGAACTGAAAGCTTGTCTGAGGGGGTCGGCTGCATGAGAAGGCCTCTCCCATTGTCGCTCCCTGGGTCGGCCATAGAACATGTGTCGGCCAAAGTGAAACACGCCAAAGCGGCACAGAGCAGATAGAAGAACTTGACGCACAGAGGAGGCCGTAAAGCCAGTGCAAAGTCAATAAGCTGGGCCAAGGAAAGGACGAAACACTCTGAGAGGTGCGCCTGGAGGAATGTGTGGAGCGTCCACAGCCAGACCTGGGCGCGAGAGCATGTATGGGGGAAAATACACAAAAGCAACCAGAATTGAAAGAAGCTCCGAAACTGCACGCAAGCTCTGATTTCCATCGGCACGCTCCGATGCCAGACGCCCTCGAGCAGCCTAAAGCTCGCTGAGGGAAAATGCGGCGAAATAAAGCCAGCAACGCTCTATGTACTGCGCCCCACCACAAAGGGCAAAGCCAAAGAAGAGGGGGGCAAAATGAAAGCCAAATGCTGATGTAAAGGCTTTCTCAGGGTTGCCCTTGTGCCCTTCTAAAAGCTTTGTAACAAATGCCACAGCGGTGCCGATGAGGCAAATCTTCGCGTGTAAGGACGACCCCGCAATGGCCAGCCCCGCAGTCCTGACATGTGGAACGGCAGTAAATCTGCCGGACGATTACCGTCTCATTGTGCTGGCTGAGCGGGAAAGCGTCCGGCCCAATGCCAGTAGCCAAAGGCGGCGCAGTGCCCAAAGGAGGCGCCGGAGGTGGCTGAGGTCGGTCGGCTTGCGACACCCAAAGCCAAAGCCATTGACCAATATTCCAGCCATGGTCGGCCTCCCTAGCGCGCTGAAGCAAAGTCTCAAAGGCTGAGTCCTGCTCCATCCAATAGCGAAGCCAGTCGTCTTCTTCCCAGCCGCCGGCACCATTGAAAGAAGCGGCCTCTTCCAACCACGCATGCGCACGGAGAAGATCTGCAGGGGCCAGTCCCAGGGAGCGGTGGCCATTAGGAAAATGCGGCCACTTGCTGTCCAAAGCAGTCTGCGTCGGTGCTGAACCCGGGTTCAGGGTAGCTTTTTCCATCTCTTCGACCCAATGAAAAGCCCAATCGCCAGAGCTAAAGCCAAAGACGGTGTCCATCTTCTCCGCAGCCTCCGTCACAGGCGCAAAGGCTGGCGTAGACGAGAACCAATGCCACAGCCATTGCGTTGGTGAAAAACCACTAGACGCCGGCATGTGGCGCGCGTCTTCCAGCCACGCCACTGCCTTGTTGACATCAGCCTCTGCCAGGCCCAGGAAAATGTCAGTATTTGCCATTGCCAGCAATAAGCGAAGGTGGGCAGAGCCACCAAAGCAAAAGACAATTCCCTGTCAAAGATGGGGAAGGCTAGAGCGAAGCCAAAAGCTCTGAGGTAAAGCGATGAAATAAAGATGCACAAGCTCTGAGTGCGAAAGCGAAGCACTGAACAGCTGTGTAGTTATTACACACGACGCTCACCGGCAGTTCAGAATCTCTGAGTGCGAGGCCAAGGGAAAAAGCTCTGCAATCCCAATCCACCCCCCCAGGAGGTAAGAGCCAAAAGCTGGGCCGAAGCGATGCGAGTAAGCACTGAAGTCCTGATCCAAGCACCGACTAAAAATGCAAAGTAGACAAAGCTCGAAAGCAAAGTGATGCAAGACTGCCCGAAAGCGAGACTCCTTTTACTGAGACTCGCAGCAAGAAGAGGATCCGAGGTCAAAGGCATAGGCCACTGCCAAAACAGGAGGGCCGTTTGCAAAGTGCACGGCGGGCCCCAGAAGCGTCCTGTGCCTCAAGCTCAAAAAGTATTGTCCATTCATTGCGAACGACAGCCCCACAAGCCGTCTTACATGCCCTTCCCTGCCAGCAAGCTTGCGACAGAGCAACGTCGCAGTCGACCGCTCTATGTACGGTCTTAGCTGAAGCCAAGAAAATGCCAGGGTGTAGATCTGGCGACTTCCCCAAAGATGCAGATGCGGCCTGAGACATTGTTTCTCTAGACGCTGAAGTGGACTGGCTGGATAGCAAAGGAAGAGCTGCTGCTATCGGTGACTGAGCTCCGCGGTGTTGGGAAATGCTGGGACGAAAAGCGCCAGCGCGGATCTTGCCAAGGATCGAGGCCTGTGAAGAGCTAGGGCCAGGGCCGCGTGCGTATCATCTCGACCGTAAAGAGTGACTGAGGTGGTGCGATGATGTCCCTGTTCACGGCGTGCCATGTCGCCAAGGCCAAGCTGCGAACACCAGGACAAGACTGTCGCCTTGCAAGAATGCAAAGTGAAATTGCGAGACGCATCGTACCCTAACCGACCCCACAGGTTCAAAGCTGAACGCAGACAACGCAGTGCCGATGCATATGACGCGGGGCAAAATGCAAAGTCGCAAGCGTCATCCAGAAGCGAGGAGCAGAAAAAGAGGGAGTCAGGAACCACGTTGGGGGAGAGTTGTTCCAAAGAACCCCACAGGGCATCCAGAAGCTGGAGCCAGCGAATACCCCAAGGGCCGTATATGCCCTCTGCGTAGAAAGCAAAAGCCATGCCACGCCGAGATGTTTTTGTACGATAGGCAAGGCCACGAATGACTAATGCTTGAGGGTCAAACAGAAGAGCTGACCAGGATACGTGGGAAGCGTCCCCAAAGCGCAGCGAAGACCATATACATACCAATGCGGAGCCGGCAAAAAGAGCAAGTTCAGGAGCGGAAAGAAGATCGAGCACAACCGATTCAAGAAAGGCGACAAAGTCCAAAGGAAGTGGCATGGCTTCAGAACGATCTGAGGATGGCTGAGCAGACAAAGCTCTGAACAGGCCTGAGTAGAGGTCTGGGAAGTGAAGGGTCACGGTTTTCACCAACCAACGCAGCGCCTTCAGGGTGTTGAGCGGAAAAACCAAAGCAATCTGTTCCCGGTCCAGAGAAGAGTCATCGTCCTGGGAACGGCTGCAGTGTAAAGCGTAGACTGCCTCAACTGCAGCAAGTTGGGAGAGATTGTCCAAGGAATGCCCGAGGTCAACAAGAAATTCGAAGTAGGCCAAACAAGCTTTGACATAGCGTAAAGCGGTTGTGTCCGCGTTGAGCTGCAAAAGCTTCAATGTCAAAGCAGGGCCATTAGGTGATCCCTGAAGCTGCTGCAGCACTGAACTGTAAGGGCCAATGATGTCTACCAAAGAACGCCAGAGCAATAAAATGGCATCCCAGGCCTCAGAATGCAGGGTGCTCTGAAGAACAACCCCCCCCAAATTGGAGGCAATCGCAGCGGCCTCAGGGCAGAGTGCGGGGGTGTGATCACTAGACTTCAATGCTGCAGGTCCCTTTGGGGAAGGGCGAACAAAAGAAGAACGATGAGGAGGTTCAGCTTCTGAGGCAGACCTTGCCCCTTCCTGAAGTGGAGCAAAAACCTGCACGCCGTGAGCTTCTGAGGGATAAGTTGAGTATGCGCGGGCAGGTTGATAGTGTGGCGGAGGCAGGGGCGCTTCCGAAGGCAGGCAAGCCCGATGTATATTAAGCCTAGTGGGGGCTGGCAAAGGCGTTGCGCCAGGAACCAAAGCAACCGAGGGCCTAGTCCTAGGACAGAGAGTCCGATTAGGTGCCGGCAAAGGATGCGACTTTGATGCCGGGCGTTCCAGGGTCGTCCCAGGATGCAAAGAAGCAACGACCGACCAAGAACCTGAGGCAGCTGAAGATTTGGGAGTTGCAGACATGACAAAGGATTGCGAACACACAGGTAGTGGAGGTGACGGGAAGTGTTCGCTTGGCACACTCTCCCCCAAAGTTTGATCAAAATTTGAAACAGCATCAATCAAATTGCTAGCCGCGGCACGCCCTGGACCCAGAGGATTATTCCGAAAACGCTTGACCCTGACTGGCGAGAAAGCCGAAGTGTCGTGCTCTGCGTGATGTCCAGAGTGTGGTTCAATGGGGTCAACTGCCACGATTGCAGCATGCGGGGTCGGGTCAGTGGACATCTCAAAGACCAAGGAAAATTAAGGATGACTTCGGGGAGTGGTGCGGAGTGCCCAAAGATGATCTGCACGATCAACTGGAACGGAGTGTAGCCCGTAAAGAGCTCGGGAACCCAGGTGGATGTCAAAGCAAGACTGTTGGGTTTGGACCCGTGAAGCTTTATCCGAAAAATCCCAAACCGAAGTCCAAAGTAATTTGCGCAAGGCCAAGTCCTCGAGATCACTGATGTGATACCCGAGAGGAAGCCAGCCGAAGCCAGACGACATCCGCGTCCCCAAAGGAACGCTTGCACGCCGCCTAATGCGGAAAGGAATCACCTAAAATTGCAATGTAAAGATAAGCTGCTGCGTCGAATGTCTTGCTCAAATGGTGCTCAAATGCCTGCTCTACGAAGCAATCAAAAGTAAAGCTAGCCAGCATTGCACTGATTTGGTATGTGGCTTGAACCAAAAACGACAAAGTACGGTGATCTTTCACAAACAGCAAACAGTTATGAGTAAACACATGACCCACGTGAAGTGCACTGCCGCTAGTCCAGCCTCTAGAGCGTTCACAAAGATAGGGAACCACTTTTCCCTATGAGTTCCTTCCCACTGCATCCGTGCAACGAGATGTCGTATAAAGTAGGAGAAGTGCGGGATGGACAGGAAATTTCGACTGTCTGTGACCAAGAGGAGGACGTTGGCACCTGCGTGCTCCGTGTCTCGCAGCTGCGGGAGCAGGCAGTTGAGCAACGCAAGGTAATCAACCGCTGGATGCCACCCCTGCGGGTCCGGTGGCTTGCCAGTGACCGTACCCACGGCAGATTCCATCGGGGTGGGTTCAGGGAAGTTCTGATCCGTTTCCAAAGCCTGCGTAATGTCAGATGCGTTTTCCTGCTCTGGCGGGCAGTCCGCGTTCCATCGGAAACTGAAAGGGCGAAGGAGGCAGGGCCTCCCCTACCCGCTCCGTGTCCGGCAACTGCGCGAGACCATGGGAGGGTATAGCAGGCAGTGCACACAGGTGCAGCAAGCACACGACTCGTCAGGGCACTGCAATGCATGTTGCCTATGCCTGGCCGCCCTGTATGCAAGAGAAAACAGCGAACTGTGGCTTGCTCCGCAAAGCAGATCGAGTTGCTGTCACGCAAAAAAGGCAGAGCAATCCAAACGCAAGAGGTGCCGCACTTCTCTTGGAAGTAGTGGTTCCAGCCCGTTGCATCTGCCTCTGTGGGTCGGATAATCGCCTGCATGGGCTTGGTCATCGCTATATCGCCATGCAGTACATACTGCTGACACGCGTTCCTTTTGGAGGAGGGGAGGCATAGAGTCTTAAGCTCCCTCTTAAGCCCCCCTCAAGCTCCCTGAAGCCCGCCTTAAGCCCCCCAAGGTACGCCGACAGCTCCTTGTACCAAGAGAGCGGGGCACTTCGAAGCCCGTTCATGGCACGAAACAGTTTCAAGAAGACCCTTTCGCCGGTCTTTGCGTTTCCTACGTTACTCGGAAGCTGCACAAACTCCGGCCGCGCAATAGCGGCGTGCATAAACGCTACCGAAACGTCACAGGACAGCACAGACCCTTTTCTACACAGAACGGAAAGTAGGAGCCGCAGCCCTTCCAGGCTGGTGGTAGGAGAATAGATCCCCTCAGCGAGCGTGGCGCCGCCCATAGCGGCAAAATCGCGGACAACAAGTCTAGAGTCTAGAGCGGTAAAGACCAGGCTTCTTAACCGTATTGACCCAACGGCTCGAAAGAACTCTTCTTCCGCTCTCCTTAGCAAGTCGATACGCTTCTCGCTCGCTCACCACTTCTCCAACGTTGAACGACTCCAATTCTTCTAGTTCTAATTTCATGGACAGATAGAGGAGTTTGGGATCTAACAGCTCACCAGACGTCTCCGAAAAGACTGACAACAGATTCTACTCCCCCCAAACTTAAGCTCACAGGAAGACGCCGCTTGATTGCTCACGGCGCGGCAGTCAGGTCCTTCACCTAGCTTCTGAAGATAATGATCCGTCAACCAGTCAATTTCCATGTCCTCCATGTCGGGCTCCGGAAGGTCACCTCCGGCTACCCCCTCATGACCCTCAGAGCCCATTTCCGTGGGCTCGTAGTCCTGGACATATTCCGGGATCATTTCTTCATCCTCTGGGGCTTCGATTTCCTCTTCTTTTGGAACAATGGGTTCCGCAGGCGGTTCAAACAGCAAAGGCTTTTCGGGGTCCTGCGTATCAAGCACAAGAGGATTAGCTTTAGCTAACAGCTCCAACGTTGGGCTGTCGTACGTGGGTTCGTCCCGTTCAAAGATCCCACGACACGCTGGAAAGACCTCAATCTCTCCATCTCCTCCAATGACAGTCCCATACACACCTCCACCTCTAGGATGGACGGGGCCCAGATAGCTCACTCGAACCGTCTTGGCTCCCCGGAACTTTTCTAGATGTCGTTTGGAACCGCCAACTTTAGCCTGCGCAGAACAGCCGAAGGGAAGCGTCCTAGTCCTTTGGACTATCTCCTCGTGCAACCTGTCTATTGCTGTGGTACTATTGTTGCTGTCAAAGTTCCACAAGTTGAAACTGCGTGCGGCGTACAGCAAACAAGTCTGCCACAACATTCCACCTAAAGGTAACCGCCAAGCAGCACCACCTTCTTCAACAGGTCGTCGACGCTTTATCTCCGCCTCTAGGTCGAGCCATATCGACCAAAATCCCTGCTTCATCGCAGAGACCTGTCTTTCCACAGCACCTTTAGACTGCGGACGGTATCCTGGCACAACATCCACAATCGTAGGGTTCTCGCGCCTCTGCGCCGCGACCCTCTCGCACATGGATATCAGACCCTGTTCGTTATCGCACCTGAACGTTAAAGTCTTTTGGTGCAATCCAATTTCGCGGATAAACCGATCGATGTTGAATAACAAGTTCGGGTCGTGTAGTTCCATTGCGGGGATAGACATTGAGTACCGGGACGCAACATGTACGATAAGAAGAACCCTCAGTTTCCCAAAATAATAGAAATCGACCCCAATGGTTTGATTCTCCTTCTGTAGCTGCCTCTTCAGTCTCCTGGCCGGGACTTTTCCTTTGCTAGAGCAGCAGCTTTCGCAGTTCACATCATAGGGAAAATGACCTCGGGATCTATGTACCTGAAGTGCATGGCTTCGCAAAGGAATCCTTTCTTCAATCTCCTCTCCTTGTGGAATTGGGGCCTCAGGAGGTTGTTCCGGGTTTTGTGGGGAACGATTCGGTTGGTTTGAGGAAGACGGTGGTTCACCATCATCACGGTCCAAGATTAAGGGATCAGAGCCTGTGCCACTTCCTGGAAGGGGCAGCCCTCTGAGCATCCGCAGATGCCCAGTCAATGGCTGCTTTAAGCCTCCTTCCGGCACTCTCTCATCATCTCCCTTCAACACAAAGCATGCCACATCAAGACAACATGCCAAAACATGACACACATGCCGCAAACAAGCCAACAACTTTAAGGTTTTGGGCTTTCCCTTAGTTGGGGCTTTCGGGCTTTTCCTACCAACCAACAAGATTCGTTCTACGCAAACACGCTTGAAGCATTTTCGGGTGCGAATACGAATCCAACATCCTCCTTGTCGGGGCTTAATCCTCCTCATCTTAGGGGTTCTCTTGGAGTCTCTCTGAAACAGCTTTTCGAGCAATTTCCAAAGACCCGAAACAACGACCCCAACCAAGGCAGGAACACCATCGCGGACTCAACCGGGAACGAGCACGTACCTGGACGCGCCGTCGCAAGTTTGAGAGGCCTAATCCCTGCTGGCCTTTCTCCGGAGGGTTTAGGCAGCAGTGAGAGGGGCCTAATCCCTGCTGTCCTCTCTCCGGAGGGTTTAGGAAGGAGTGAGAGAGGCCTAATCCCTGCTGGCCTTTCTCCGGAGGGTTTAGGCAGCAGTGAGAGGGGCCTAATCCCTGCTGTCCTCTGAAGGTTTAGGAAGGAGTGAGAGAGGCCTAATCCCTGCTGGCCTTTCTCCGGAGGGTTTAGGCAGCAGTGAGAGGGGCCGAATCCCTGCTGTCCTCTCTCCGGAAGGTTTAGGAAGGAGTGAGAGAGGCCTAATCCCTGCTGTCCTCTCTCCAGAAGGTTTAGGAAGGAGTGAGAGAGGCCTAATCCCTGCTGGCCTTTCTCCGGAGGGTTTAGGCAGCAGTGAGAGGGGCCTAATCCCCTCTACGCCCCCTGTGGCCAGATTTCCAAAGGGACGACGCAGGTCGGCTATTTTTGAGGTCTCTTGGCCACTCCAT